CGACCCCATAAAGAGAACGAAAAAAATCAAAGGAATAAAACTTTATTGGGAATCTCGTGCTTTAGAAATATTGGAGGAATGATATTGAGGAAGTGACGACATTGTTATTATCGCCTCGCTTCTGTTTGAGTTCTGAAACAATCTTTTCCCGCCTTCGAATGCCGGCCAGTAAAATCTCTGTTATGATTTCCTTCGACAATTTACGTCTTTACCTTTATCCAAGTAATTTAACGCTTTGCAATCTTGACATTTTTTTAATTTTTAATTTAACATTTGATTGTATTAAATCTTTTAACAAATAAATATTAAAGAGTTACGATAGACAAAGACCAGACCCGATGCACGAAGTAACAAAAATCAGTATAATAACTTCTTTTCAATGTGTAAAATCATAAGCACAAGTATTTGGAATAACATTTGGGGTAAAATTACGAAATAATTGGTCGAAGTTTGTTGCAACCAAGTAAGGAAAAAAACTTTCTGATATTTTTTGACATACTTTTCGATAACACATAGCAATATGCTACCTATACGTGTTTGGAAACAATCAGTATACTTAAGTCATTTCTGATTTGGAATACTTGAAAAAGGGGAATGTAAATTGGCAGAGTACTTTGTCAAGCATTTGTTGTTCGAGTATTTGAGAGGACATTCTGAGTGTACTCAATCCGCTCATAGACGTCGTTACCGAGACCAGTTAACGTATGTTATCAGGAAAAGAGTATTATTTGATCTTTATTAGTTTTATTGTTTGCTAGCATCGTAGCGATCGTTTCGATCTGAAAACTTGTATGACATGCGAAACAATATAAACTGAACAAACACTACGGATAATAGGACGTTGATGTCAATAATTCATATTTAATTACCAACGAACCGCAATAGATTTGGTAAATAAATTACTGATATTCAAGTAAATTTTAATAACTGTCTCGCATAAAATCTTTACTGCCAATGGACAGATTTCATTCTCGCCTATTTTATTGACTCCATCCAATAGTTGTAAAAGCATATAGGTGTTGTTTATGTTATTAATCACCTGAGAAGGCAGTGGCCGCGCCGATAGCTAATAAAACCTCGCCTCTTATGATTTTCATGGCGGCCCGGGGCTGTGCTCTGGAATTTTTCGTTTTATTTTATGATGGCGCGCACTGTCGCGAAGAAATATTGGCTCAGCGGAATAGCTCGTAAAGAAAACCGTTTTCTTCCCGCGGAGCTACGCATTGCCACTACACCACCCCTGCCTACTTCTATTTCTTATAATCTGACGTTCGAGCTATATGTGTAGAATGCTTTTATAATTAAGATTCGACCTGCGCATATTCCATACCTTTATATTTTTATTTTAGTCACTTTTCTGACGTCTGATTTGATCGTTGCTATTTTCCCACACGTTCATTTTAATTTAAGGCAACAATTAAAAAGATTATTTATATTTTTATGAATTAGTCGCCAGTTTGTTCTATGAAAATCAGAAAGTAAAAATCAAATATGTTTATGACTATTATACTTTTACTTTCTCATTTTCATCTATTCAAATTTCGTCTACAACCTCCTTTTTTTATTAAATACCTTGCTATTTTCAACATAAATAATATTTTCTAACATAAAATAAATTCCTGTAATGACGTTGGCTCTTGACTCAATGTATAAAGGGAATAACAGAGCTACGCAAAGCAGGTCTACCCATACAGTAATTTTTGTCGGTCGTAATGATTTGCCACAGCCCTACACTCAACCAACATTTACGAGGGCACTCGCGCCGTTTTTCCCCGGAATTAACCAAACCGTTACGATATTTTGCGTCGATGTATTTTGAGAGACGGAATTAAAATTACATTTATGTAATGAGCGTAGTAAAATGTATTACGCGAATTAAATCCTCGTGGTATTTTTATACTGAATTCTTTGGTACTGTATTTGTATCAGAATAAATTATTTATGAGTATCTAAATTGATGCCATTAAATATGTATAATAAATAAACAATTATGAAATCCTTGGGTTTGTTACCGATTACTATTTACCTATTCCTATCTTCCACAACGAAGTCTTGAAACTAAAAGTTTACGGGTTATAAGATGTAATATTCATGGTTGAAATTTTCCCAACTTGCTAACCCAGTGTTCCGCTGAAGTTCCTTCAGTCCCGACGTATTACGTATGCACACTGCCACCTACCGGATAAATTGTGATACAATATTTTATGTTACAAGTAAATTAATTTATTATTTACTAGTTTTTATTGGCGACTTCGCGCGTATATTAAACCTAGTAAAATATTTAGACTATTTTACTTAGTGTTAATGTAGCTCTCCAATGGTAAAAGAATTTTCAAAAACGGTCTAATAGTTTTGAGGCTAGTCCTTACATACAAAACTTTCAATTTCATAAAATGAGTATAGAAATGAGTAATTAATATTTATAGTGATAGATAGATAGATATCTTTAAGATATCTATATATGAGTATACAGACTTTATAAAAAGCTATTCGAGTAGTATTGGAAAAGATGAAGATTATACAAGAAAACTGTACCAGAGTTTACATCGACCACCGCAAATGTGTTGGTCAAGGTGACCACATTTCACGCTCCATAACATCCGTAACAAATCACTTCTACAACTCACAAGTCCATAATTAACACCCATAGAGAATAAAAAATATTTAAACCTTATTCTATTAGAACGTAAGTTGATAAATTTTCCGGCGAATTTTGCCAGAACGGCTCGAAGCGCTTTAATAATCGTATGCATGAATAATTAATCCGGTGCCGTCCCTTGAATTGAAAATACATTGTGATGCAGATGAATAGCGATATAAGTATAAAAAGCACAGTCGAATTGATACCAATAAATTCAGTTCCACGGGGAAGGTTTATTCGTTTACGTAAACTTTGAGATTGAGTCTAACAAGACTGAGGGAGGCGGGGCCGGGGCGACGGTGATTTCTACTCTTAAAATCCAATTTAAATGCATTCCTCTGTGCCGCAGCAGGCCCGATACGCTCCGGGGCCCAATTAACTTATTCATCCTTAACATTTCATTGCTCAACTTTGCTACCAATTTTCTGTTACTATTGCGACAACCGTTTTCATTCGTTACAGGTAACTTGATTCGCTGCAATTAAGGCACCCTATACACGGAAGAATAATCAAATCTCTCGATTAATATTTATAATCTGAGGCGATGTTAGTATAAATCTTAATAAGAGATAAGTTATACTAATAAATTGAAAACTACTTGTAAACTTAGTATTAAATTTTATTGTTAGGATAATAATCTGGAAAAGGATACATAAAAAAAAAGAAGGTATACACGTTAAGAAGGTTAAAATTAGAATTCCATTTATGTTCAGAAAAAAAAAACGTAAGAAAATACCAAAGTCAGTAAGAAAACTTCATCGTGTATAAAAACTTAAAATGATTTTTGTTCTGTATTAAAAACGCAATCGTTTCTGGTCCCTTCGAAACTTGGGAAAAGCCATTTAAAATACAATTTAAACATCCTAATAGAAACGTTCGCACTAAGAATTGTTGCAAAGTGTAATGGGTTCAGGTGAAATTAACGCAGAAAAATAGGAAAAGTTAGAACGAGTTTGCCGCGAAGGTTTTTTGCCTCCGCCGAGTAGCGCAGTGATTGTAAACTGCTAAATTTATAATGCCATTTTCGAACTCCCTTCCATCGGAAAGTTTAAACCGGTCCGTAATTTTACTCGCGACTAATACATTCAGCGCTCATTCAAGCTAAATTCAATAAGTTTCAAATAAGCAGGTAAGGGTTTGCTGTTTGGATCTTTTAAGTTTCCTCTGTATATTCCAAACTCCCTTTTTTATAGTAAAACTTTGCCTTCCAAATATTCATAAAATAAAAATTTTCTAGTAATAATTTCAATGAACAAGGTTTTTAAAATTTTAGTTTAATACATTATATTTTTTAATTTTAGTTTGATACATTTATACTTAAATAAAAAATGACTAGCTTTCGCCCACGACTCCGTCGGTGTGAAATTAAAAACTTGATCCTTTTATAAGGAGTGCACTTTTCTTAGGATATCGATGGTCAGACACAAGTTACATCTGGTTTTAAAACGTCAAAATTATGCCGCTGGCTTAATTATTTCAACGTTATATAACTAAAAAAATGTACATATTTTTAAATTAATTCCACTACGGAACCCTAAAACGGATTACGAATAAATAGTCGTTCATATTTCGCCGTGCTCGTAAATAAGCGGTTTTTTTTATTCGACGAAACCTGTTTATTTGTGAAAAGGTTGCGATGACCCAAGCAGATTTGCGAGATAGCCCGCGCCTTCAGTGGATTACTTTGCAAGTCCTTTATAGAGCGCAGCAGTATCACTACTTAAGAATATTAAAATCCCTTCTATTTGTGTAAGCAGCTTGTTTTCTTGCTGACGGCGAATCGTTTATCGAATAATGTTGATAAGCCGCAGATAATTGAGTGGGACGTTTGTTGTGCCCTTATAAACATACTAATATTATAAATGCGAAAATTTAGATGGATGGATGTTTGTTATCGTTTTTAGCTTAAACGGCTGAACTGATTTCGATGAAGTTTGGCCTGCATTTAATGATAGTTCGGAAAAACATATAGGGTACTCACTACTGATTTTTTTAAATCCACGTGGACGAAGTCGCGGGCGAAAGCTAGTGGACTTATAAGTTTATATAAGCCTTTAAATATTTACTAAAGGATAATGTTAAATCCTATAGCAATCAAGGCTTCGTACTATTTTATTTTTATTGTAGTTATATTTTAGTAACTTTATATTATGCTTCTTAGAAATGAATAACTATAGGTAACATTGAATTTGCGAGGATTAATTTTGCTAGAATTGTCTAGAATTCTAGACCTTTAACATTATTAGAGTTACTGCTGCTAATTATTGCGATGTTTTCATTGCATTTGTTGTATATCTACGGCTTATCAAGTGACCTACTATAGTCGTATCCCAAACTAGTCAGTTGGATTTGTAGTGCAAATCTTAATTTCAACATCAGCAGCCGTGTTGATTTGATTTACAAGTAAATCTTTTTGTTTTAGGTAAGTAATATTATAAAATAAATCATACTTGTTTATCAACAATTCTCTTTTGTCTTGTATTTTTTTTAAGTTACCTAGCAGTTACTTCCTTATTAAATGAATAATTTAAAAACGATCATTTCAGTTCTTTGGAAGAGACAAACATGAATAAAGGTGTGCTTATAATATTGTGTACGTTTGTTCTGTTGGCGCTTACTGATGCTAGGTCATGTTCCACGGGGTAAGCACTTATTTTTTAAAGATTTCTATGCCAACTTACTTTTGTACTAATTACTAAAATCAAAACAATATCATATACATGAATTGTAGTAAATGCTTTATTTTATAACAAAAACATAAGCAATATCGAACCACGGTTCTTCTATTTTATACTCATAGTCTTCATCGTAAATAACAGTGGTGGTAGAGCCCGCTTTAACATCTTCGGACCAATGGGCCGGCTCGCCCGGTGAAATACCACGACCACACAGAAACAGGCGTGAAGTGGAAGCAATTCCGATTTTCCAATTTTAGTCCCTTTCTCTTTCCACCCTTTTGTCAAGAGGAAAGGATGGGAAGGAAAAGTGGATTTGATGGTGGAGGAAAAGCATAGAAAGGGGAAATGTCCTCTTTATGTGCGTCTCATCCTCCGTTTATTAAGGGTAGGCAAAGCATCTGCAATGGCGGATGTTTCTGGGCAGCGGTCGCTTTCCATTTCGGTGGATTCAGGTGACCGCTTACTTGTTTGATTATAAAAAGAATTAATTAAATTATTGCATTATAGAAAAAAATAATTATAGCGTTTTAGAGATGTTAAGATACAAATATTCATTTGTTTTCAGACAGAAAATCTCTCATTCACCATGCGGTAGCAGTGAGGTAAGAATTTATTTATCGAATAAATTATTAAGAATTAGAACGTCTATTCAATTTACGGACTTGAATTATCATTACAAATTATAAAGACATAGATAAAGAGTAGATTCGATCACAAAATCCTTAATTCTTAATCTAAACTTAATGAAATCCCGCACACTTGACCAGACAGTACGAGTATTAAATACTCAAAAATTGAATAGTCAAAATAAAATATGTTTCATACATCTACCATTACGGTCGTTGCTCAAATATAAACGCAACAATAGTAGACCTTTAATGATTTATGTAATTAGGGTTAAATTGTTATTGAACCACTTATTGAATACAAAAGAGGTTATCACGAATTCAGCTAAATTAGATCAGAGCAAAGGTTAGATAGTTGTTGATGTTGTTCATAGTTATTATCTTTGTTTAGATCAATATATTACGCAAATTATTAACTTATTTATATTTTCCCTAAATAATGTAATTTATTGGCTATATTTCATTTCAGAATAGATACAAGGATGATTCATCATCTTCGTCATCATCATCATCATCATCATCATCATCATCATCAGAGGAAGATGATGACAAAAAGGTAATAGAGTAATAAATCAAGTATCAAAAGTAGAAGTCTAAAAGTAACAATTTTATCAAAATGTTGAAAGATAAAGAAATTTTACTAATATTATAAATGCGAAATTCGGGTGGATGAATGTATGTTAAACTTTGTAGTCTAAACTGCTGAATGGATTTCGATGAAATTTAGTATAGATGTAGAGGATAATCTGGAAGAACATATAGGCTACTTACTTATTTACGCGCGCGAAAATTAGTAAATAAAATAAAATGATTTAAAACAATACGTTAATAAGATTTTAAAGAATTTAATTTGTATAATCATCGTCTTGTTACAAACATGTTGAGGTTTTTAAAAGCGCTATTTTTAAATCACATTGAGTTCAATACGAGGGTTTAATTACCAAAAGTTTTAGAGTTATACACGCTGCCTACCTACGTAGAGTCTGGGTGTAGTTGTACGCAGCGGAACACTCCAATTTGTTTGGAGAATGTTCGCGTTACGGCGGCGGCGGGTTTCTTCAAGCGAGCCTCAATTGCGGCTCTAATGAGCAATAATGATGAAACTGTTCCCCCAACTTTTGCCGTCTTATTTTTTTCCAGCTTAATAGATACGTAAGAGTGGTAACAAAACTGAAATTCTAATTTTTTATTATTTGTTGGGATATATCTCGCTGTGATTCCTATGACCTTATATGGAGGCACACTACTCGATTTTTAGTTGCGCAAATAAACAGTTAAATTGGCCGCGAAACAATCGACAATCGCAGAACAGTTGTACGATAGTTGGTCAAAGGTGTGCGCCTGCTATAAGATTATTTAAAATCGAAAAGAAAAAGCTCTTAAATGAATAGTACCGTACACCTTCTCTTAAAAGATTAATTTAAACTTTGGTCTCTATACTAACCAGTTGCAGTTTTTTTTTAATTTTAAGGTGACACCCATGGTCTTGTTGTCTAATACACACTTTATTTATCTGTAATCTTGGCTGAGGGTCTTCCAGATTTTCTTTAGATTTAATTTACAATTGTTATTGCAGGGTCACGGCAGAAAGAAGAGTAATTGTGTAGACTCATCGTCATCCTCCTCGTCCTCGTCTTCGTCATCAGAAGAAGACGATAAATGCGTAAGTTATCTGCAGTCATGCTTCTAAATCTAGACTTCTATACTAATGTTATAAAGAGGAAAGATCTGTATTGTATGAATTGAAGTAACTCAAAAACTACTGCGCCGATTACAAAAATTCTTTCACTATTAAAAAGCTACGTTATCAGTGTGTAACATAGGCTAAATTTTTTTCTGTCACGTAGGCGCCGTTGCGAGGAGCTAGTCAAACATATATGGTATACCTTTTTAAAATGATCAGAATTAAATACTAGTTTTCTCTGGTGACGTCACCAGTACGTACTATAGTATCTAGTTAACTTAGTTATTAGGATAAAGTCAACCACATATTAATCTATACTTGTTAATAATTACAGGGTCGTGGTAAAGATGACTCTTCGTCTTCATCTTCATCGTCTTCTGAAGAAGATAATGAGAAATGTAATGATAACAAAAATGAGTCATCCCATCACGTAAGTAAATTTATCAAGAATAGTCACTAGTGGAACATCCTGTATGACTGGGTTACTAGTTTATAGAAAGAGTGATTAAATTACCGGTAACGGTTTATAAAGTATTTTCTTATCGCAGTTATAACAAGAAATTGATATTAACAAATCGAGGATTGATGCAATTTGCATTGACAAAAGTAAGTTCCTTCGAACGTTACTTCAATAGAGCGTTTCGAGTTAATATAGCGCCTTATTTTTATGTAATCATTAACTGAACTGTAGCTGGATTTCTCGTTTTTATTTTTAATATTTCTTTAGCGTAACAGCAATGTCTGCTATTACCCTTGCGTCTAAATGTGTCACTGATGACTTACTATACTAATCGGTAGTGCGTTCCAGGTTGCTAGCATTAAATTACTAGCAAACTAAACTTTTTTCGACATGACTATAAATGTGTGCATTAACCTTAGATCGCTTGCTTAGATTGTGCGTTAAGTTCAGACTTAATTATTGTAAGTTTACTCGAGCCAGGTCAAGGAAACTTCTTTACAAACAACTCTTGAATATTTAACGCTTATTACGCGGTTGCTTTACGGTTCTATTCTAGTCTTGCATGTAAAGGTAACTTGGTAAAAGTTGTGTTAAAAGACATGTATTTTTTTTTGTCTATTTCAGCATAAAAAAGGAAAACATTTCAAGAGTTAATTTTTTAACTGCAGGAATTGTCAATAACGAAAAGACAATGTTTCATGGAGAACTGTAATTATAATTATTAATGAAAATGTACATTGCTGTAATATTTTACATTATTCTTTTTTTAATAAATGGTGTCAAGTAAGGAGTTTTACATTGTTATTTTTTAAATAAAAACATTTTATCGAAGCACGTTTGAATGATTTTAATAAACATAAAAATTAAAACGTGAACCGATTCTGTTGTGCATGTGAAAAGCCTTCGTACGAGTTAATTAATCCATAAATTGCTCCCGATGCAGATCTGGAATCGGATTCGTTTAATTTTATAACATGGCTGCCATTAAAATTTATTTTGTTGTTTACTATCGCATTAACAATACGTGAATATTGATTGTTGCAATTTTTAAAGTCTCTTGCGAAGTAAAATATAATATAGCAACGTTTCTTTAACAAAACAATAATCCTTTTTGGGAAGTTAATTGTTCAATATATAAAAACAATTGTAATTGGTTTGATTAAGAAGTTTATTAATAAAATTATATTGTAGACATGTTTATTTTGTATAGAATACATTTTTCCGTCGGCACGCTTTGAATGGTTTTAATTACAAATGTTGTCACAACACGTAATTGAAATATTGTCGCTCCGCAGAGAGGTATTTTAATAATGAAATGCCTGCCTTGCTCACACATGCTTTTCACATTTTTACTGAGATGCGGCCAAGGTCATAGAAATTAGTCAATTCTCTTACTGCTGTTTCAAACAGATTTCGTTGCATTATCAATTTAAAAAGTAAAAATATTTGTTATAATATTTAAGAAACAGTTTATATATATGTTTATAATGCCTATTTGATTTTTTTAATGTTATAATGTGGCAAATGAACAAGCGGTCACCTGATTCCACCAAAATGGCGAAGCGACCGCTGCCCATAGCAATAGCGGATGCGTTGCCTACCTTAACCGACGGAGGAAACGCACATAAAGAGGATGTTTCCTCTTCCTATGCGTCTCCTCCAGCGTCAAGTCTGCCATTCCCATCCATTTCTTATAAGAAAAAGGGTGGGGAGGAAAAGGGACTAAAATTGGGCCTTCTAACTAAAGTTGATTAACCTAAATGTATATCATATTCATATTATATTTTTTTAGTGATATTTGAGTTGAATTAGGTTATGTCAATAGATCTGAAACATTATTTCGAGGTTATTTGCCAAGAACTATAAAGTTGGTCAGTCAGTACACTCGTGAAAATTAGTTATATTCCTACCGAACGAATGAAATCGCTGAACCGAGCTTGTATTGCGGACGCTACTAACGAGCTTTTTATAATGATGAATTTCGAGCTTTCTCTGTAATCGTAACTTGAAAATAATATTTTAAAATAAATACATTTTTTCACCAGCTAGTTGCTGGTTTTTAATCTTTTAGGTTCGATATTTTTATAACCAACATGTTTGCGTCGAGGTTTATTTTATTTATAAGGCGAAGAGCTAATTTTATATTTGATTTAGCCTTCATGTCTTTTATAAACCAAATAGAAAGGTAAAAATTATCAGAGTAAAACTGACATAAAAAGTTTCAAAATAATTTTTTAAATTGTTAGAATCAATTCGTAAATATTGATTTTAATAACTTTAAACTTGTTTATAATTCCTATCTGTAAATTTTCTATGTATACAACGCCATACAACAGGAATCCTTTTAATGTGAAGTCGGTATGAATTCCGGGAAGCGTCTCAATATTCTCACGTGTACGAAATACCGTATTCGTTTGAAGAATTTGACTGTTATTTACACTATAAATAATTCTACGCAACGAGGCACGTGTTTAACATAGCGGAAAAATATAAAAACTATTGAATACTAATTAAATGTAAATAATATTAAAGGTATGTTTAATTCGAAAACCAAATAAATCCGATTGTTGCCCATCTAATGTCGAAATGAAAAATTTTTTATAAAAGACTAGCTTTCGCCCTTGACTCCGTCCGCGAGAAATTAAAAAAAAACAAAAGTAAAAATCTTATGTTTTCTTCCTGACTATCCTGTAAGTCTATGGTAAATTTTATCAAAATCCATTCAGCCGTTTAGGCTACAAACTAACAAACATCCATCCATCTAAACTTACTCATTTATAATATTAGTATGATTTGATTATGTCGTGTCATAGTGTCACTGGTCTAGAATATTGTAAAATTGATATATAATTAAGCGAATATCAAACAAAGATTAATTATGTACTTAAATATGTTTTTAAGAAAACATTACACATTTAAGATTAATGAAATTAGTTCTGTACATGTACATGATAAAGTTATTAAATTTCATGCATAGTTCTTAAGAAAATTGACGTCACCAGAGAGGAAAATTATGGAATTAAGTAGACACTATTAAAAAGTTATTATGCTACCGCAATAGATAAACGATTTAGTTTCTATTCAACATTAATAGATCCACACATGGCGACAAAATGTAAATAGCTCGATATTATCGAACGAACGTTCCATTTAATATTTGTTTGTACCAATCATTTGTGAAGAGATTGTAACCGCTCTAACGTGTTTGTTGGCGCGTAGTCATCGATAAAGACTACATCCAGTTTAATTTTAATATACGATGAGTTCCTTTACATTCAATGAGAGTGAATCAGTGAGTTAAATAAATGAACATTAAAATGATTCGCTTTATGAGATATATCTTAATTTGTTCGGTATTCTTCGATCTGATGAACCTCGAAGCCGCGCCTGTCTCCGGTCGGGACATCGCCGTCGCTTTTAGCAATCCCGTTAAGGACATTGTGGATTTCTTCATTCACAAATTTGAAAAGAATCATAGACAGAGAGGTGATAACAAAACTGTCACACCTGGCCCCTCTATGATCGATGTGCCACTGAACACTAATAGCTGCACGGACGGTGCCGTGAAGGATATCTACGGCGCGTGTAGGATACGGTGGTGATTGGGGCCAGCACTTAACAATAATCGAATTTAACGCGCAGTTTGTTCTATAACAGTCGATAAAATGGACGCAAAGATTGTGTTGTTTGTAGTTATTATATCTCTGTACACGTTTTCAACTGGACAAAGTGGTATTGTGTTCAATTTTCATGATAAATTGCGTATGGCCACGACGACAACAACCGAGAAGGTCAAAACTGGTCAAATAATAAGAGTGCCGGTTCTAGATTGTCCCGATGGTGAGAGAAGAGATGATTTAGGGAACTGTAGACTGCCATTTTAGAGGTAAGATCAATGTATTTTACAGTTACGAAAACATATACTTATACATACCTTTTATTTGCAACATTAACAAAATAACATATAGACCTCTACCCTGTAAAGTTGTATTGAAGTAACAAGATGTGCTCTAATTTGCAGAATTTATGAATATATATTTTGTTGTAATTTTAAACATATGCGAATGTCTCAATATAGATGCAATATTGTACTTACAATCTATGTAATAATGTATACAGTTACATTATTACACTACATCCAAGCTATAAATAACTATCAGTTTCGTTTCAGATAAAATATCCGGTGGGATAAGAAACATTTGAATGATAATAATATTAAGCAGAATTTTTGTAAGTGGCGATTTCCTTGAAGTGCTGTGGTATTCGTTATCAATTCGTGGAACGCAACAATTATCACAAGCGACTAAAGATCTCGCTGCCAGGTCAGCCAGGTCATACATTATCTAATCATATTCTTGAAAGTAGCTTAATTGTAAGACTATATTTTCTAAAGAACCGTGAGAAGAAAGAGACGTTTTAAGCAAGATGAAGCTATCGCTCATTGTAATACTTTGTGTCGGGATAGTTGTAATAAGTTCCGAAGCAAATGGAGACGTGGTTGTGGATCTGTTTGGAAGAATTCAAGAATCCGCACAAAAAATCGGAGACGATATAAAGAATGTTTTTCAATCAAATAAGAAACGAAATAATCAGTATCCACAAGAAACAGTGAAAGTGTCAAAACCAAATAATGGAGATGCGGACAGGATAGTTTTTGACAGATCTGAGGTGACAAAGGTTAGTGTAACCACTCCCAAGAGTGGCACGATTGTCACAAAACCGAATGAACAAGCTGGAAGAGAGAATTTCAGAGGCGCCTGTGCTACTGGATACGAGCGCACCTCTGATGGAAGATGTAAAAGTACTTTTTAATCTTGGTGTTGATTTTAGATACATTTATAAACGAATATTTTTAATACAACGTCATGTTTCTAATCAAAGAGCGTCTTTTAAACACGAAAGGTAAATTCTAAAACGATTTCTTTTAACCGTATTGGAAGGTAATGTAAAACTCGTTGTAAATTGTTTAACAGCCCCGTGTTATAGAAATGAGAACTTACTTTATTAAATGTATCAGATATAAATTATTGTTTAAAACTTAACTTGAGTTTTATTTTTTAATTCGCCTAGTGATTTATTTTTCATAAGTTCGTACATACATTTTTTGGTGTTTTAATACATTATTTCACACTACATTTAAGATATCTTTTGATCATTGTTTTACGTATTTTAATGTTATTTAACTATTTTGTCAAACAATAATTAATTACATCTTTAAATCTAAGTGAGAGGACACAAACTACTATCAAAATAAATTGTACTGAAATAGGCAATGTTATGTACAGATTAGTTTTTTTAATTTTTATATCTATAGCCATCTGCCATTTGGGACCTTAAAATATAGGTTTTTAATTAATAAATATAATATTAATGTTGATTTACAAGGTTAACGTAATAATTATAATAATAATTGAGAATCCAAAGTATAATGCGCTTATCAATTCGTTTGATATTCCATATGTCGTTGCCCCATTAAATGTCAAAGAGCAATTTAACTATATTATAGTGCGGCAAGTTTAACTGGCCCGGTAAGAGAGGTTTGTCCTAACAGGAAACAAATATAGAAAACTTCATATCTTTCTTCATTTGTGTTATCAGTAGTCATCGTTTATCTTTTCAGTCTTGTCACGGAAATTACGCGTAGTCCGATGTAAGTTATTACAATGCAACTAGTACCATTTACTATCAAATTTCGTCATAAAAAAATTATCGTAGATAACAATATTAACATGATAAACTAGATCTCAACCAAAAGAATAAAATACAATAAGTACGTACAGAATTTGCCAAGAAGTCGCTTAAAATATTCACATTAAACAATTATCGCATACTCAAAATGATCGGGAATTTCGTATCTATGTACCTTCGCTTCCGGATTTCCTTTAAACTAGTACAGACAAACTTAAGTGAGGGAAGATATGTATTTTGCCTCTCCGGCGACCTGATACTTGAAATATTTTTAATTTTTAGTCGAGTTCAAATGTTGTAGTTTCATGTAACGATATAAATCAGAGTTGACTCGCGTAAAGTGAAATGTGAAAGCCACTTACCTAATGCTGAAAGCGGCGACAATCTCATTCCGGGCGACAAATTGGGAACACCTTCCGGCGTCAGGCGACACCGCACGGGCGCGCGGCCCGCACCTCACCCGCACTCTCTGCTAAATAGCTATTTATTGCGGCGGCGAGCGAGACACCTGTCTCCAACGGGGACGTTAGGCTAGAGCGGTCAGCTCACAAAATGTAAAAGACAACTAACAAATAAAAGACCTAATAATGGCAACAAAAGTGTGCAATTATTTAACTATTTTATGTTCATTGTCGAACATAGACCAGGCGAGCACGACTGGATTTTGTCCTTTCATAAAGGAACCCACAAGCAAATAATGTGTCAGCTGGCATGAGATGGCGCAGGACAGTCGGCGCTAGTATTTTCTTGTGTCGATCGTCAAGACCCACTTTGAGGTGGGAGTAAGAAGCAAATGATTCTGCTACCTTTAAGACATCGTGGTTCTTTATTGGTAATTTTCAACCGTAGATTTCTTTACACATTAAAAAGTAATTAAATTAATCACATTTTCAGGACCTAACCAACGCCATTCTATAAATACTCTTAAGCGATTTAGATATACATAAATGAGGCTGCAATTTGAAATATTCAATGATTTAAATTACACAAAATAATGCATCTCGCTTAGTAAATGACATGTTTACTAAGTTGTCGCTGTAAAAGCCAGTGGATTACGCTGTACTGGAACTCATTGTTCACGTTCCTGTCGACCAAACCCCCGGCTAAGACCCCACTGTCAGTGCCCGTGTGTTCCTGACAACGTAATCAACCTAAAGTAAGGTCATTTTAATGGTTGCTCTATTTATTGCGATACGTATTTTAGTTTGAAGTTTAGTATAAAATACCAGGGCGAGATTAAAGTCAACTATGAATAAGTACGTTTAATAATGCTATATAACCAGTATACTAACATCGATAAGCTTTTACTTGTAATAAATAATCTACTCAGAACTAAAATGCTGAATGTGTTAATTCGATAAGCGTTTCTATATCTTCATGTTCCTTCTCACCCTACTCTCGTAGTGGCGCAACAGATTTTTGTCCTCGACATAACTATTATACGTCGTCTCAGTCATCACTCCCTTCTTGTTCATGTCACCTTTCACGGAATTCATCTACCTCTTTCTAGATCTACCTTTACCGGTGTACCTTCCACATTCATTACTAACGTTTAGCAATGTTTACCATCCTTAAATCATGTACATTTTACATATATGATCCGTGTGGTTTATGATGACAAAGTAATGTAAAGTATGTAAGCCAAAACTTCAATAGCAATAAGATCGTTGTATTACTATTTTAGAGCTGTATAAAAACATTGTTGACTTTAGATACATATAATTAGAAGTGTAATTTGTCCTCAACGATAATATCCATTTCATAGAATACAAGGTAAACAGAGTGGTCATTGTGTACATTGGCAACACTGATAGTTGGTACTATCCAGTATTTATTGAAATTGGTGACGTTAGAGTATCGATTTAATTTATCAGTATTGTTATTTCAATACTGACAATTACTTAACCGTAAGGTAATATTACATTTGTTTCATCTTATAAGTCACATTTTTTTATAAAAAAAGGGGCAAAGGTGCGGTGAGAACACAGATGTGGTCAACGACGCCCATGTATATCCACAACACCAGAGGAACTACAGATGCGATGCCGGCCTTTGTGTAAATGGTAGGCTCGCTTTTGGAAGGATCCTAGGTCGAATATCATTGTAATAAGATGTGTATTTAGTAAGTAAATAAGTAAGTAGTCTAGAAACCCTTAGGCTCCTTAGTCTTCTAAGGAGTCTAGAAACTTCTATCAGAAAAACGACAAGTGATAATGTGAACACTATAAACTGCTTTTTTCTTACCACCATGATAACTTATAGACAATATTAACCCTGACTTGAATTCTTAACTAAAAATGTTTATTACCTCTGACAAATTTGCAGTCAACCATTCCCAGCATTCCTTTATGAATATTCATACTAAAATTATCTTTCTATTTTCGATGAATTAAAAATGTTTGAAAGAGACGCCGCGCGGCTTAATTCTGAACGTGATACTTGGGTACGTGAGCGCTGGCCGGTACATTTGTTAACGAAGCGATATTGTGACACAGGTCCATTTAATTGAGCTATTTGTGTTAGTCCGGCCCTGTCACAACGCCCGCGTCGCTGCCTCCCTAACTACAAAGCGCTTTGTTTACACTCGATGCTATACAACATTATTATTTCCGTAGGCAATAAAACTCTTCTTTTTTAATTTATTTCGCCTTTTTAAATAGAACATATTCTAATGTAGGAATTATTTAAATAGAATAGATAAAATTATTACAAATCAAAATCTATTATGCATTTTTGCAGCGTTAATATTTGAAGAAGTAAAGCACTATTTGGCTTAGTGTTGTCTTGTGATACTAGATGGCACTTTTCTGATTATGGGTAATACATTCACATTGTCAACTGGTATTAATCGTTGTTTAATAGAGACAATCAAAGTCGTTCGTTCAATTTTATGGCGTAACAGACACCTGAGTAATGGTACTTAAAATGTTCAAATATCTTACTCATGTGTCGTTCGAACGGAATTTTTACGCAACCTAGGAAAATATATCAACGTATACAACCATTTGTATGACGCTTTTTCTCGTGTGACAATGTTTTATAGTAGTAATTTAAAATACAATTGCAGTTGTATGTTTAATCGTAACATGTATACACGTAACGACACTATGATCTTTATACAATTTTTTTGCATATCTAAAAATAAACCTTTTAAAAAAGTTCACATTTTTTTTTAATTTATTCAACGTAATTCGTTTGTTCTAAAGTCAAGTACAAATATAATAAAAAATATACAATACAATCGAAGGCACAATTCAATTCAAGTAGCGGTAAAAATACAAGAGCTCACAATTAAGAAAGTTTAGACTGGGCAATTAGGCCGCTTACTAATTGGTTACCGTTCCATTCTAAAGTTACAAGTTTGAAGTTAACTCTATTGAAATGCATGACGGCCTTGTTATGAAATATAAGTAAAAATGCTATAAAAAATGAAATTTTATTGTTTACGATTGAGATGGCCATACTTAAATTTTCTTGTAAATCGAGTAGAAAAATAAAGCTTTTTTTAAGTGACGAGCAATTTAATAATGTTCATGTTAAAAATGAAAAAAAAAATAGCTTGTAAAATGTATCCAAATTAGCTTTGTTGGAATTTGGAAATGGAGAAGAATTAATGGCACACATCGCGGGGGACGTAAACAAAATGTAAAATAAAGTCAGGTTGCGGCGTTGTCACGCGGGCGGCGGGCTAACACAAATAACTCAATTGTTCCAAGTGGAACATCACTTGCAGAACAAATGGCCCACTCACCTGTCCTGCCATCCGTTTTGATTTAAATTGGACAGGTTTTTTCGTTATTTTAATCTCTCTGATCGATTTTTTATGCACAAAGGCAAAAAAAGCGAAACATTTTTTCGACATTATGTAACTAAGATAGTAAGTAATTACTGCATTTGTTTACCAAAGGGATTTGTTGGCTTTACTATTTAGAAACATAATTTTTTTTATCTTCTTCGCCTGAAATGGTTTAACACAATAATGACAATTAAAGGTCATGACCGATTTTATGTTAAATATGCCTAATTTGATATGTGTAGAAAAATAAATCAATCTTTGGCATCCATACATTTTAGCCACGAATAAAATTTTAAAATTGTTATACAACGTTAGTGCGTGAGTTATTACTTTCCAATATCCTATTTTGGATTGTCCACGTCGATCCTATTAATCAAAAAAAATCATCTGGCTCAGCACGAAGCCATACTGTTGTATGAAATCGGATTCAATATTAAACAAAAAAGAACATGCCAACGAACCGCAAATTGCAACATGTAGAATATTTAACTATATTTTTCAAAACTATGAAAATTACTTTAAAGTATTTTTTTTTTGCAACGAAACCACTTAACCACT